CAGGGGCGAGTTTGCGCGCAGATGTTTGGTAGTTTTGATGTGTTTCGCTTGTGGAAAGTATTAAGAGCTCTCATACAAAAGATAAAATAATTTGAAAGAGAATTTTAAATACTTTTAGTAATACACAATATTTATTAAAAACGTACATATTTTCTGCTATTATTTGTACAACTAAACCAAAAATGACGCAAGGTATTTTATCTTTAAAAAATTACATTACATTTTTTAAATATTTAATATCGAAGAACCAATTTAATCAACAAAAAACTTTAGCTTCAATGTTGAAATTGTTAGCAGGCGCCGAACAAATTTTAAGCTTTGGTAAATCATTTTCTTTGCAAATGCAGAGAAATCAACAAAAATTAGACCTGCGCCAATTTCATGAAACTACTATTCATACTTTCAAAAAATTGTAACCTTAAATAAAGTCATGTACTTTAAAAAAGGTTGTTTTTTGTAAATTTTATTGATGAAAAATTATCAATACTGAAATTGAAGACGTGAAGCAAATATTTAACTTCGGTAATTTTCGAGAAAAAGTTCAATGAAAACCTGCAAAATTTTATAAGCGTATTTTACTCTAAATGAGACAAATGAAAATAAAAAATTTGGAGCTATTCTTGAGAAACTTTTGAAACTGTCTCTGAGGTTTCAGAAAAAATAACCCAGACACGTTTTTAAATTCGTAGGGTCTCCAGTTCTGCCATATTGATCAGGGAATGTCAGTTTTGGAGGAAATAGTCTGAACTGTTTAGATCTGGGGTGTCCCACTTAGAAGGCCTCAAGGGTCACAACTATAACCTTTAATATGGTTGCGGAAAAAATATTATCACTCGGGCAATCCACACGTAACCCCGTATTGTCTATCTCGGAAGTTTGACGCCTGCTCTTAAGTGGGGTGGGATGTGGATGGATGCGTGATACCAGGCCGTACCTTAACGCATCCGCATCAAAAATCTTTCGTACGCCTTCCTTCGGAGGGGAAGTAAAGCCGGCTGTCCCATGTTAGTAGATTTACTAGCATGCAAAAGATCCTCAAGCCTAAATGATGCCTCTGAGCTAAATTCAATTCGCCTGTTTCTCTCCCAAGAAATACCTCCTTCCTCTGCTTGTTGGTGAAATGAGCGTAGCCAAATTTGCGTGGTCAGACGGAAGAGTGGGCCTGATGGCCCGAGTTTCGCCACGTAAAGTAAGGCATCAATTCAATTCAATTCAATTCAACGGAGTAAAACACTCGGGATGATTTGGAAATTCTGAATTTACTAGCAAAATATTTCTTAAATTCGACTTTAACCTCTTTTTATTTTAACATCAGTGGGGTGTTGACCGCGACAGGCGCTAGTCACACAAAGTTTTCGCCCGACATAGATGCAAGCGACTTTCACGTTTGACTTGTAGTAATAACACTTCGCGGGCCACAATAAATGGCACCGTGGCCGCCAGTTGGACAACCCTGGCTTAGACGGTTGTCCACAGTCGGAAAGAGTGAGACAGACGTTTTGCTGCAAACTAATTTTTCAATATGAGAAACACACGAAACTTATATTCTGACTACACAACGTTTTAGATGATGTACTTACTTTACTACATAAAAGTGGAAGAACTATCCATCTTTTCGGTATCAGGGACTTACAATCTAAGTTTTTCTGTCGAAAAATCACCACTTTTCGTTCCATATTTGCATTAATGTTTCTTTACTAGATACGTAGGAGTGCACTCGGTGGCAAAACACTTAGCGTGTTTGTTTTCCACGGCGCAACCTTGGCTTCGATTTCCGGCCGGGCTAAAATAATAACTATGCGCTTTCCTTACAAATATCCCCGCTATAGTTATCTATAGCAGATATCTATAGCTGTGTGACGATGAGAAAGTCCACTCTAAGGTTATGAAGACCAGAATATACAGTGAAGGGATGTCTTTGTGCTAACCACACGAACCCCCTATCCCATGGCCGAGTGGCTGGGACACTGCCGGTTGGCCAAGGCCCGTAGCGGGCAGTCGACCCTTAGGACAAGACATGACATGACACATGACGTGACGTGACATGACAGAACAGATAAGTACGTAGTAGGCGAGAAAGTAAAAATGAAGTTATGAGATGAATGTGTTATGAGATGAATGTGAAGTTTTTGTTGACAATACAATGAAGGAATCATACGCTTAGTAAATGATGGATTACGGAGTAAGGATTACTAAAATGTTTCGCAGGATTTCTTTTTAAAATAAGTATATAATTTTTAGAAAACATAGATGCAAAGTGCCTTGTTGCCAACGAGCAAACCTTTATTCGGTTTTTGTCGTAAAAGAGCACGCCATACTTTTTTCTACATATTCTTTAGTTAATCCCTCTATTGAAAACGGAATAAATAATGTGTTTAAATATTTAATAAACATGTGTGAGCAATAAATAATATTAATAATAACAACAACTTCAAAATATCTGGTGACGTCCCAATATTACCATTACCCAATATAGCATTAAGATCATGAATAAACAGTTGTAGAAATTAACAAGAATAAATTATGAATTTTCTGTTAATTGCCAAGAGTACATTTGAAATTAACTTGCATGTACCATGTCGCCACAGAGCGATAACCTCATATAGCTGTCCCTGCCAAATTAATAAACCATGAGAATGGAAGTAGGGTTCTTAACACAAATTCTTTTATGATTTTCTATTCTGAGAAAATTTCCGTGAGACAAGTATTCCTAACATTCCCTACAAGCTAAACATTTTACAAGGCAAGCAACTTCTAAACTCATTATTATAATGATAGTGTAAAATATCCATCTGTTTTTTTAAAGAGATAATTCTTCCACATTCAACCATTTTTAACATTAATCTTCCCAACAAATTTTCTCAAGTTCTTCATTACTCAATAATTTTTATTTTGACACTTGAAAGTAATTATCTGTCACCAGAAAATTCGAAAATTAGTTTGGAACAACACAATACTCTGGAAATTGACGAAAAAATATCACCGAAGCTTAAAATTCCCCTTTATGTCATATTTCGTCAGATGTAACTCTACTTTTAGAATAATATAAAATTAGCTTCTAAGGAAATGATCAGATAAACAGCAATATATTTGAGAATTACAGATAAGTTTATGCATGTTCCTGTTCACATATATTTTCGTAACTCTTTCCAGGATGATAATTTTTCATTGGTCATGAACTCGGTCTAGAATCTGTGTTAGAGAAAAGTAGTAGTACGGAACACTGTTGATAATATGGACCTCTGAATCTCAAGGAAAGTTCACACTGCAAACTAGTGGCGACAAATGGAACATGCTCGAGCTCCTACAGCTCCTTCTGAGGGTTGATTCCACAAGTTGTTTAGGAAAGGAGCCCTATGGTGCTGTTCATGATTTTCCTGTTATCGATGTACAAAAGGTGAGTACACTTTGATTTCTCCCCCCGTTGCAAATCTTTTGTAATATGTAGACACATGATATTTTAGTAGTAAAGAAACAAGGAAGATTTTGACACATTTCAAATAATTCATGCGATTTGTGCAAGAATTTTTATACGTATTTGTAATATGGAACCCTCCTGTTGAATACCTTCTAAGTTGTTTTAAATCGAGAAGTATATATCCTTCAAATATCATTATCTGAAATAAGTCATATATTTCAAAATTGAAATTAAGTGTACCAATTAATAGTGATGTTATTTGCATACGAATTGTTTTGGGACACAATTCTAAAGATTCGTTTTTAAAAATACCGTTCAAGAAAAGTTAATGAGTTAAAATTTTGTTTTCAAATATTCTCGTTATACAAACAAGAACATTTTTTATTTGCATCTTCACATCTTTCCATTTTAGAAATAAAATTGATTACTTTCCATCTTGTATATTGATTGAAAATTTTTAGTAATGAGAATTGTGGAGGTCCATATTATCAGCATGCCATATTTGGAAACTCTTGACATATTCTAAATTTTAACTAGAGGTTAGAGAAGAAAGCATAATCAGGAAACGATAAAATAAATAAAAACCATCTGTTGAGGAACGAAAGGGGTCCATATTACTATATACAAACATTCTTTTATTCTCGAAGTATTAGATGAAATGTATATTATATTTGAGAGTGTTTTAAAATACACAATGAAAAATGTTAAAATATTATACACAAATTGTTTTCAGTAATATACCATTTCATTGTTTTCTATTAAGTTACAATTTTTTAAACTAAAGTGAATCGATTTTGGCCATTCTAAAGATACTCCTTGTCACAAGCATCGATTTTGAAGCTACCAGTCTCTCGACCGGTCTTCCGGCATCAGTGATAGTACAGTGCATGTAAGTGTAAATGTGTGTAAGTAAGGGGTAGGATAGGACATGGAAAGGGAAAGGAAGGGAAGAAAAGATTGGACGCGGTCCGTAGCCCGTTTGAATGGGTATTCGCCTGGTATTGATCGGATAAACCGCGGAAAAGTACCGATCAGAGCAGCCGGCCGCTAGAATCCTCCTCCAGACAGCGACAAAACTCGACCCAGATATTTAGCGAGTATCGTCCTGTCTCCACAGGAACTCAAACTCCAGCGCATTCCGGTCGGAGGCACTGCAGTGACATTGGTAGTGGTGGTTTCCCGAAAATTTCAAAGTTATTTTTATTAGGATATTATTTTTATTAGGATATTGCTTTATTATATTAACGCTGACTTAAAGGTTACAGAATGCACGGATCCAACTATATATAGACGGCAAACGGCTACCTCTTGGCAAAAGTACTGACGCGTATTATCGTAGAGACCTGATACAGGGGCAACTGAAACTAAATTGTGTAACTTTGAATCAAGGACGTCGAATTTTCAAATATTTGGTAATGTTGTTTCCGGTCATAATAACCGGTGATTTCAATTTTGTTCGCGTAATCTGTATAACTAATTCATTTCTGGTCACTGAAAATTTAATAGAAGCAACGGCATTAGTATAGGTATTAAAATGAAAAATATTGTACTATTCTAATGTTAAGCTTGCTAAATTGCAGGAAAAGGTGTGCACAAGGCAGAGGAGACGCCAACGCCGGTACTAACTCTTAAATGCCGCACCGCATCTCACATAATTATTGCGGTTTTACTTGTGATTGTTGTGATGGTGCAGGGAGGTTTCCTTAACGCCTACTTCCTAATTTGGATGCCAAACAATGTGAGTAGCCGACGTAAATGCCTAGCGTTTTGCCTCCGGTGAGCATTTCCTTGATACAAAAGGTTGCTTTGCTTCGCAGTTCAAATTAAAATAGATTTTAAACTTCTTACAGTTGCCTCCTCGGATTAACTAGTGTCATGCAGCAGCAAAAATTCTGCTCAACAGAACCACAGAAAGTTTTCTCAAAATGTAGCATGCTCACTGTTCTCAAGAACAACAAATAAAATATTCTCTATAACACTACACTATTTAAACATTTTAACAAAAACAGACTTCCCGAATACTCTTTGCGCATTCAGAACCCTGTGATAGAGTACACTAAGTTATTCATGTATGCAAAAGAAAATAGTGTAAACCCTATTCAAAGTTAGAAAAAAAAGATTCTTGTCATTGGGCATTTTTTGCATAAAGGTCGTCCAAATATTACATTAAATAATGTTCCCTGTTGCTATTATTACCTAATTTTCGAACGAAATGAAAGGAAAGAGTAAAAATCTTCTCAAAGTGTTATTTCGGATACTTGATTATTATATGCGTATACAGCTAAATTTCGCGTTTTCAACTCGTTAATAGGTGTTACAAGCGTTCAAAATGACCTCCTGTAGCGTGAGCGCAGGATAGGCATCTGTGCCTTACGGCTTCAGCGATGCGTACAATTCTGTCGGGTTATTCCTTTATTTTTGCTGCCCAGCTTTCAATGCGCCGAAGAAGGCCATGACGGTTCACAACTACGGTAGCTTAAACGCGGTCTTTCATTAACCCCGAGAAAAAAGTCGGGGGAAAACCGGTAGTCATAGTAGCTCTGGGATTGTTCCTCAAAATTTGTATAAGAACTTGGCTAAACTCCCAGGTCATTCAAAAGGCTAGAAAGAGTAAGCATTACTCTATCGGGAACCGCTTTCATTTTACTCAACGTATTACAAGGCACCAACATTCCCTAGATCTGCTCCGTAGGAAACTGCTTGCAACCCGAAGTAGATTTCTTATTCAATACATATACACTCATGACATATTTAGTCCTGAAGTATAGGAATAATAATAATAATAATAATAATAATAATAATAATAATAATAATAATAAGAAGAAGAAGAAGAAGAAGAAGAAGAAGAAGAAGATTGCAGGGAGTATAATGGAAGAGTTAGTGTTGTCCTGAAAATTTGCTCTGAACTCCAGGAATAAAATATCTGCAATTGGTACTTTTGGCATAAAGAGAAAGAAGCCTCAGACAAATTGAAGCCTTTTGACACAATTTAATCGTCGGGATGGGAAGTATGTAATCAGTAATCAAGATGATTCACTAATAAGGATGGTCATTAAATATGAACAAAGAATAGGCAACAGAGGTATTGTTTGCGTCGAAAGCATTGCGAAGAAAACTACGCAAGACACACCGAATAACACAGATATTGAATGTTTTGCTGTTTAAAATGAAAAGTGAGACAAAAAATGTTAAAGAAAGCGTGGAGAACAAACCATTCCATAGAATATATCTAAAAAGAATAGACGAGGTACCGATCAATAAAGATCAATCATTTATATGGTTTAAAGGGGAAGAATGAAGACAGAATCGAAAGCAGTTGTAATAGCTGCCCAAGATCAGGCGTTGAGAACACGACATAATGAAAAAACAGTTTTTAAAATTTCTCAAATTGATAAATTCCGCATCTGCCTGGAAGAAGTAGAAAACCCTGATCATATTGTCGTAGCTTGTTCAATTCTAGAAATGGGTGATACATAAAAAAAGACGGTATGTTGCATAGCTTCCTCCACTGACTGATGTACAACGCCTTCGAAGTTGCAAACACATGCTCCAAATGTTACGAACACTCACCACAATCTGTGACGTATGTTGGACTGTGCACAATATTGTACGACCAACAATTCAAATTCATCGCACATACAAACAGGATATTGTTATCCTGGATTTGGAGCAAAAAACTTGGAGACTTATGGATATGGCTGTTCCGTGCTATCGCATCATCTCGCGTCGTAATCACGGCGAGAAAAGTTTTAAATACAGGTGGGAAAATCAACATCAGCCGAATGCGGGAAATAAAAACGTGGTTCGTCCCGATAGTTATTGATGCGCTGGAATTTGTTCTCCAAACATTGTATAAAAACTCAGGTCATTCAAAAGCTTAGGAAGTGAAAGTCATTACTTTATCAGGAACTGCTCACATTTTGTGCAAATTATTATAGAGGCATCGACATCTCCTAGATATGCTCCTTAGGAAGCTGTTTGCAATCTGGAGAAGATTTTATATTCCACGGACTCATAATCTTTAGTCGTGAAGTAGAGGAATAATAATAATAATAATAATAATAATAATAATAATAATAATAATAATAATAATAATAATTAGTAATAAATAGTAATAAATAATAGAAAATAAATAGTAATAAATAATAAAAAATAAATAATAATAAATATTAAATAAAATATATATTAATATTAAATATATTATTAAGAATATAATAATGTTAATGTTTGAAGTGCTCACAAATCTGTAGAAAATTATTCAAATTGTTCCTTATTTATCATTTTACTTCTTAGTAAATACACATTTGTTAAATATTGAGGTTCAACTATCATCTGTCAACTACTGTTTAATGTTTTGGCAAAGGCCCTGAGTCATTTCGTAGTCATATCAGTTGTATGTGATCAAAAATTGTTTTAGTACTTATAAGCCTGTTACAGCGGAAATACTGCATGAATGTATTCTCTTTTTGTTGCAGATATATTTTTACTTGTTCTTTATTCCCGACGTGGCGTGTGCCTGTTTGTTTATGGTGTCGATGATGCTCTCCTTCCAGCACCTCGTGCGAATCCATTACGGTCAATCGAGCAAGACACTGGACGCCATGTTCCCAGTGAAAGTGAATCGTCGCTTTTCAGTATACTATTTTGGTCTTTTTCCTCTAAGCTACATATCCTGGATATTTTACACTTCGATCCTGTTGACCAAAATTATTATGTTCTTATATTTCGAAATCGTATTCGAGTTGCCAGAAACATTTTTTATGGGACAGCAATTTCTATTGGTAAATATGATTGGATATATTAAATAAATCATAAATATTCAAAGTTGTAAAATACTCGTAATATATATTTATCTTATTCAGCGTATAAAACAATGTAATATTACGAGACATTTTGCTAAGGTAATCAGTCCAATTAAGTGTTAAAACAGGTTTGATTACGAAAATACTTGCAGTAGTATATGTGATAAATGCGTAATAATAGTACACACGTTCAATACCTTTGTTGAGTGCATGGCGATTCGTGGTGACGAGACTGTAAATTAATTTAAAGTGTAATAATATGATTAAAACTTGGCGTTTGGCGCATAAGCGACATTTATATACAAAAAGTTCTCGGGGCCTTGGATTGAGTCAGATCAGTTGAAGAATATTATTTTGGGGAAAAATCCGAAGTATGGTTTAGATACATGTTGTTCATAGTGTTGTTAATGCCCAGTGTTCTGTCTTTAAGACAAAACACATTTGTTGATGTCATGATACCAAAAACGTTCAGTTTCGATAAATTAAAAACATTGATGAATTGTGTAGATTGGCAGATCCATTTTTTCAGAAAAAAAAAATTGTCTTCGATAAAATTGAATTTAAGTGTTGCTTCGGGGCGCGAAATTCAAACCTGCTGCCGCGACACGACACGACACGACACCGGCCGCGGTGCGGCGTCAGCAAAGAGGGCTGGGCGTAGCGTCGTATTATTGCGTTCTCGGTGAAACTGTCGAGTGAGGCTTCCCGCACACTATAGTACTTTAATAGCACCAAGTGTTTTGTGCACTATTCATTTAACCTATACAATTTCCTAATTTCATTTATATGTTATAAACACGGAGGCAGCGGCGTAATAATAAATGCTGGACACGAACTATGCCTTAAGTAAATAAACAAAATTTCTATAATGCTCGAATAATATTTTGCTTATTTTCAGTGTGAATATATTTGTATATAAGAATGTGAACTGTCTTGTGCATAGAAAGCCACGTACGATAAATGATAGTCCTCTTCTTTCCTGAATATAATGACATATGTTAACAACGCTTTATAGCAAAAACGTTGTTTCATTAAAGTAGTTTATGAGCTACAGTTGCTACAAGCTGAAACTGGAAAATAAAGCTAGTTGCCAGACCCAAAGACTTGACACAAGTTTCTCTAAGTCTGTGTTATCGAATTCGTGTTTGCGCTCTTGCAAGATGGCGTAAAGCGTTGTTTGTGGTCCGCGCTTGTGCAGGTAATTACGGGACTCGCCGCGTTCACCTTCTTTTTCCTGGTCGAGGGGCACACGTGGTCCTCACGCAACTCGCACCGGTACGTGTTTGTGACGCTGATCTGTGCGTTGACGGCGTTAGAACTCATTGACACGGTGGGTTGATCCTAATGTAGGCCTACTGTATTGCTTGAATGCATCGCACGCTAATCCTCGCAAGTGTCCAGACTTATCCGCATTAAATTGAAACCATGAGTTGTGATACCGCAAATGACATCACCAAATATTTTTAAATTCGACTCGATACGGAGATTAGAAGCTATGGCATTAAGAGTAATTCGATTGTGCGTGTATAAAACTATGGCAATCTTAGGCAGACGTTGCATTAAGCGTATGGCCTCTGTAAGGAGCCCGGACGGGGTTTACAACCCCTGGAAAAACACAGAACTGAGCTGCAACAAAAGAACACAGACCGCACACCTGCACGGTATTGCAGCAGTTAGCGTGACCCACACTACCGAATACAACAGTTCCTAGTGTACCCGAGCACAGTACAGAGCTGCCAAAACAACTTGTTTCTTCAACAATGTTTCTTGAATGAACATAGTGGTTTCTGGGTTATGATTAATCTTGTGTACAAATATTTTATATCTTACGTTCGCCATCAGATGGTGAAGGTGGTACTGACATTCTGCGGGTAAGTCTCGACACCCTATATATAAAGTACGCCAAGGAAAAATGATGTTTCACATCATTTATAAGAAACCATCGACACAAAACGACACAAATTGATTAAATTTTGTTGTTGGATAGTGTGAACATCGCTTAAGTAAACGATGCCGGTCTCAAATTCGTTGAAATTCCTGATTTTGGGTAATTGCAAAAGTTCATATTGTTTCGGTGTCTTCCTTTAACTAAAATATTAAAGATAAAGATTTTCCCCTTAATGAAACCTGTTCTCTAAAGACAAATTTTGAAATAAAGCTATGTACAATGTTTCCATATTTTGAGTAGTTTCGTGAAATTTTGCGGAAAAAAATATAATCAATTGTTACGTTTTTTGAAATTGTTCTCAAAAAATCGGAACCAAAACGTTTAATTAAATTTTGACCTCTAAAAGCGTAAAGAACGCTTAAGAAAATGGCGCATGATTAATTTTCGTTTAAATCCCTGATTTTTCGAAAATTAAAAAATTCAACATTTTTTCGGTGCCTTACCCCAACTACAATTACGAAGACAATTTTGTTTCTCAATGAAATGCATTCAACAAAAACAGATCTTCAAATAAGGTCAGATTCAATTTTTCGCGAATACGAAATTTTCTTATGAAATTTTGCATCAAACATGCGATTTTTATTTTAAACAATTATTCTCTCAAAAGTCTCCAACTCTTAATTTGTTTTCACGTATGTAGCAAAGGCCGGTGAATAAAGTATTGCTGGTCTCATTTTCGGTACACTTGTTTTTTTTCGAAAATTAAAAAAAAATCGAAATGGTAAATTCGAATTTCCCTCGCTTCGTTTGAGGCAGTGCCAGTCTGTAATAGTAATTTGAGATGTACTTGGAGGCTGTTAGATATTCTGAGAATCCCTTCTCATTGTTTAACTTAATATTAATTAACTTAATAAATTAACTTAGTATTACAAATAGTTTGCGTCTTTTGGCAGTATTTTTTGATAAATTCATACATAATGCGTTTGAGCTTTTTTCTATTAACAATTATAACTACGTATTACGTAATATCAAAAGGAAATTCTGTGCACGATTTCTTAAATTCTAGGTTCGTTATCTAAACTCAAAAACAAGTTGAATTCTGAATGCAGATGGAAATGAGAGGTTTTGTCAATAATTGATAAGAAAATAGTCGCCAAGCATATGCTATGCCGAACGAATCGCCCATTGTCTTAACAACGCCGCGCGGCTTGTAATCAAGACTTGTATTGAAGGCAAACTTGCGTAAAATTATTCTCGCTTTTGAATATAATGTGCTCTAAATACTGTGACGTTAAATTTATTTGTTTGTTTTATTTCTAAAAGTAAATAATGCTCGTTGCTCCTCACTATCGAAACGAATGCAGAAATGCACCTCAGGAGCTTTGTTTGAATTGGAAGTTTTCACATAATAGCTGAGGTGTTAGTAGCGCAAAAATAGTAATATTTTAGTATTATGTAACTAGCAATAATGCGAGAAAGTGCATGCTGTTGAACACCACTAATTTTGCCCAGCCTGCGTACGCAGATCAAATAGTGTGAATGCGCAGCCGACATTTTAACATCTTGGGTTATTACTCAAAAACTACTCATGCTTTAAAACGAAGTTCATAACATCAAATAAAGATTTACAATTACGGGATAAATGTTCGGAAATAAATGTTGATGTCTTCGAAACATGTTTGAACTTTTGCAATTTTCAAAAATTCACGGATTTCAATAAAATACGGGACTTCATCTACAATTCGAGCAAAAATGTAAAGCAACAATTTAAGCAATTTTTCGGAACATTTTGAAAATGTCAAAGGATCTTCATGTAAAGTACTCTCAAAATTAAAATATTAAAATGATCTTAACCATCTTTCGAACAGCACGGAATCATAACGTGTGAACGAAGTTATCACTAAAAACTCGTAAACACGGATTTTACCACCGAAAATTCAAGATTGTATTTTTGAGGTGATTTCAACACTTTTCCTTCTTTTATTATAGTATAGGGAAGTAAATTAAAAATAGGATAGATGAAGCACAATAGTTTTCTTATCTAAATCGTGCCTTTTCATTTCAGGTGACCCTCTTGTCATTAATTTACACTTACAAAGATACTATGAATATTGACGTCGATATTATAACAATAGAATATTTCGTGGTCATTTTGTGCATGTTCAGCTTTTTTCTTCCTTCACTTCACCTGTACATGTTGAGCATGACGGACAGAAGCGCCGACGTCATGGAGCTGCCCATCGCCACTCTTTGCGACGTCCTTCATTTACTGTTTATCGACATTCCCTACCTGGCGGTGCGCATCTACGTGCTGACGCACATGGACTACAGCGTGTTAGTGATGCTGTTGAAGAACGTGTTCTTCATCATCGTGCAACTCCGCCACGTCATCCCGGACTTCCAAGCGACGCTGCGGCGCTTGCGGTACGCGCACAAGGCGCTGCAGTTCCAGCGGCGGCTGGCGCGGCTGCAAGAGGAGCGGCGCTCGACCATCGCCCGCGCGAGCGCCGCCAGCGCCGCCAGCGGCGGCTCCGCGCACTCGGGGCCCCCGCGCGGCTCCAAGAGCGGCTCGCGCCTCTTCAGCGTGTCCGAGTTCCTGGAGGCGCAGAAGCAGCGCGTGGACGAGGAGGAGGTGCTGCGCCAGCGCCGCGAGCGCCACGAGCAGCGCAAGGAGGAGCGCCGCCTCGCGCGCCTCAAGAAGGACACGCGCAGCAAGGCCACGCAGACGCACATCATGCCCGTGTGAGTGCACCGCCGGAGCCGCTGTCCACCAGGCGAAGAGCAGTACTCTAACAAACCGGCCACGGACCGCGCGCCCTTACACACACTTACAATAACATGCGCTACTCTACTACACTGGTCGGGAGCTCAGAGATTGCCCCGGCTGGGGCAATCTGGTTAGGGAAAACCCCCGCTAGCCAACGGTAGGTCGGCGCCGGATCTCGCGATCCCGAGCTAAAACATGCTCTACACTTGTGGGACTAATGACCTTAGCCCCTTAGCAATCAATCATCGAATTATTGGTGAATTGAATATT